TCAGCGCAGTCAGGTCATGGCTCATCCCCAACTCTGTGAAAGCTGTCCAGCGATTCCTGGGGTTCGCCAACTATTTCCAGAGGTTCATCCGGGGCTTCAGCACGGTGGTCGCGCCTCTTATCTCCCTGCTGAGAGGAGGTCCCCAGCGGCTTCGTTGGAGGCGGAGAGGGCGTTCGAGACACTGAAGGCCCGCTTCACCACTGCTCCCGTGCTGGCACATCCCGACCCCTCACTCCCATTCATCGTCGAGGTGGATGCCTCCGAAGTAGGAGTCAGGGCAGTGCTGTCCCAGTGCACCGGAACCCCTCCAAGCAGCTGAGCCCCGGCCAGAGGAACTACGATGTTGGGGACCGGGAACTCTTGGCGGTCAAGAAGGCTCTGAAGGCGTGGAGGCACTGGCTGGAGGGGTCCAAACACCCAAACACCCTGGACGAACCACCGCAACCTGGAGTACATCAGGGCAGCAAAGAGGATAAACCCGAGACAGGCCAGGTGGGCTCTATTCTTCGCCAGGTTCCAAATCACGCTTTCCTATAGGCCAGGCTCGAAGATCGTGAAGGCGTACGCCCTGTCTCGCCTCTATGATGCAGAAGAGAGGCAGGGAGAAGAGACCCCCATCATCCCTCCGTTCCGTATCATCGCACCAGTGGTGTTGGACGTGGATGCCGACATACGGCAGGCCCTGCATATGGAACCCGCACCTGCACAGTGCCGGGAGAACCGCGGCTACATGCCCACGGGTGTGCGGGACCGCTTCCTTTCCTGGGCGCACACAGCGCCTGTGTCGGGTCATCCTGGGATAGGCCGTACCATCGCCTACCTGACTGAAAAGTACTGGTGGCCCACCTTGGCTAGGGACGTCCGGGTTTAGGTCTCTTCCTGGTCCATCTGTGCCCAGTCTAAGACACCCAGACACCTCCCTTATAGAAAGCGCCTTCCCCTGCCGGTTCCACAATGACCCTTGTCTCACCTCTCGGTGGACTTTGTCACTGACCTTCCCCCCTCCCAGGGGAACACCACCGTTCTTGTTGTTGTGGACCGGTTTTCCAAAGCTTGTCGCCTCCGTCCTCTGCCTGGGCTCCCGTCGGCCATGCAAACCACAGAGGCTCTTTTTACACACGACATTGTGTCAGATCGTGGCCCTCAGTTCACCTCACGCATATGGAAAGAGTTCATGGAACGCCTGGGGGTCACGTTCAGTCTCACCTCCGAGTACCGTCCTTAAGCTAATGGGCAGGTGGAGATGGTCAATCAGGAGGTGGAAAGGTTCCTGAGGTGTTACTCTCAGGACCGACCAGGGAAGTGGGCGGATTTCCTACCTTGGGCTGAGTATGGACAGAATTCCCTCCGCCACTCCTCCACTAACCTCACTCCTTTCCAGTGTGTGTTGGGGTATCAGCCGGCCCTGGCACCTTGGCATCCGAGCCAGACCGAGGCCCCTGCGGAGGACGAGTGGTTTCGGCGCGCTGAGGAAATCTGGAACGCTGCGCACACTCGTCTCCAACGTGCCGTGCGTCGGCACAAGGAACAGGCCGACCGCCACTGCAGTGAGGTACCTGTTTTCTCTCCAGGTGACCGGGTCTGGCTCTCCACCTGGAATCTGCCCCTCCGCCTGCCATGCCGGAAGCTGAGCCCGCGGTTTGTAGTGCCGTTTAAAGTCCTGAGGAGGGTTAATGAGGTAACGTATCGTTTGCAACTCCCTGTTGATTACCGCATTAACCCGACTTTTCATGTGTCTCTCCCCAGGCCAGTGGTGCGTGGTCCCCTCGCTGAGGCTGGACCCAGTGACGCCCCACCTCCTCTGTACATTGAGGGAGGTCCGGCGTACTCGGTCCGTGAAGTCCTGGATTCGAGGCGTCGGGCGGGGCGTCTACAGTACCTCATCGACTGGGAGGGGTACGGCCCAGAGGAGCGGTGCTGGGTTCCTGCGGTGGACATCCTGGACACTTCACTGACCAGGGATTTTAACCGTCGGGGCCCTGACCGACCCGCACCACGTCCCTGTGGTCGTACCCGAGGCCGGTGTCGTCCCGCTGTGGGGGGGAGGGGGGGTACTGTCACGGATCCCTCCGGTACTGCTGCTCATTCCGTTCACCAGCTCCGGAGGTCTACGTCACCGGCCTTCTAGGCGTCACTGACCTGGATCATTATAACCAACCATGTCTTGTCTCATTACACACACACCTGCTTCCTATTCCCCCTGATTATTATGTGTATATATGTGCCCTCTGTTCCCCATTGTCCTTGTCGATTATTGTCCCATGTCCGTTGGTCTCGTGAGTACCGTGTATTGTGCTCTTGCTATTACGGGTCTCGTCCTGTGTATGTATTTAGAGGTTTACACCTCGCTCTTTTGTTTGGGTTACAGCTCTGTGTTATATATATATACGTGTTTGTTTTGGGCTTCGTCCTCATAGTTTTTTATGACGTACCTTGTGTTGGGTGTAGAAATAACAACCCTAATACGTATTCCTGCGCCTGTCTTCCTATCATTATACAATGTACAGGTAGCATTCTCCTGGCATCCGCCAAACCCAGATTCATCCGTTGGACTGCCAGATGGTGAAGCGTGATTCATCACTCCAGAGAACGTGTTTCCACTGCTCCAGAGTCCAATGGCGACAAGCTTTACACCACTCCAGCCCACGCTTGGCATTGTGCATTGTGATCTTAGGCTTGTGTGCGGCTGCTCGGTCATGGAAACCCATTCATGAAGCTCCCAATGTTCTTGTGCTGACATTGCTTCCAGAGGCAGTTTGGAACTCGGTAGTGAGTGTTGCAACCGAGGACAGACGATTTTTACACGCTTCAGCACTCGGCGGTCCCATTCTGTGAGCTTGTGTGACCTACCACTTTGTGGCTGAGCCATTGTTGCTCTTAGACGTTTCCACTTCACAATAAGAGCACTTACAGTTGACCGGGGCAGCTCTAGCAGGGCAGGAATTTGACAAACTGACTTGTTGGAAAGGTGGAATCCTATGACGGTGCCACGTTGAAAGTCACTGAGCTCTTCAGTAAGGCCATTCTACTGCCAATGTTTTTCTATGGAGATTGCATGGCTGTGTGCACGATTTTATACACCTGTCAGCAACGGGTGTGGCTGAAATAGCTGAATCCACTAATTTGAAGGAGTGTCCACATACTTTTGTATATATAGTGTAACTCAGTAGGGGGAGTGCGAGTGCTTCTCAAATGTAATGTTTTATGCGTTCTCCACACAAGAGAACTTCCTCAGAGAACGCACTCGGAGCATGAGTGTGGAGCACGGTGGTGTACATATTGAGAAACACCCTGAGTGTACAAAACATTAAGAACACCTTCCAAATATTGAGTTGCACCCCCCCTTTTGCCCTCAGAACAGCCTCAATTCGTTGAGCCATGGACTCTACAAGGTGTTGAAGCGTTCCCCAGGGATGCTGGCCCATGTTGACTCCAATGCTTCCCACAGTTTTGTCAAGTTGGCTGGATGTCTTTTGGGTGATGGACCATTTTTGATAAACACAGGAAACTGTTGTGTGAAAATCCCAGCAGCGTTGCAGTTCTTGACACAAACTGGTGCGCCTGGCACCAACTACCATACCCCATTCAAAGGCACTTAAATATTTTGTCTTGCCCATTCACCCTCCGAATGGCACACATACACAATCCATGTCACAATTGTCTCAAGGCTTAAAAATCTTTCTTTAACCTGTCTCCTCCCCTTCTTCTACACTGATTGAAGTGGATTTAACAAGTGACATCAATAAGGGATCATAGCTTTCACCTGGTCAGTCTGTCACGGAAAGAGCAAGTGTCCATAACGTTTTGTACACTGTACATACCATGCACAATTTTGACAAGTTGGAAGATACATACTGAATTTATACTGTTTTTCATACCAAGATGGAGCAAGATATGTGTTGCTTTTTCACATATTTGTTAATTGGTTTTGCAAGAGTTGGTTGATTGGTCGTTTCATTGGTTTTCCAATATGTTCATGCCATTGATTTAAGAGTAATAATAGGATGCAATGTCCAACCCAAAATATAAGCTTGTTTTACTCCATTGTTTGTAAACAATATAATTGTACAAATAAATAAATGATGTTGGTTGCATAAATAATGATGATTACTAAATGTTACATGAAATGTAAATATGAAATATGAAAACCGAATGGAAACCCCTTTATTAGTATGTAGTGGCAATAATTCACTTAATGGTGAGGCATGGAATAATAAAAAAGGTATATTTTGTTATGCTGGGTGTTGGAAATTTGAGTAGGTGATTTGAGTCATGCCTCTTCACTAGTGGAATAAAGACAATTAGCACTTGAATGTTGTAAATTAATACTGTGTGTAAATACTGGAGTAATGTATGATTGTTTATCAAATTGATCATAGACCAATTTTTTATACTGTGTACATGTGTATGCAAGTACGTTGAAATTACGTTGTTTTCAACTCGTTGAAACGACCTGAAAAACGTATTTTCAACTTTCAACCAAAACCGAATGTAGATTGGACGTCGGGCATAGTAGTCTTTTCAACGACATTTTGCTAGGTAATTTCTGTATCATGTACAGGTCATGGATCATAAAGGGCCTAACAATTTTCTAATGGCAACTTTAGTCATGATTTTCTCAACAAGAAAAGACAGACTGGTAAAAAAAAAAAACATCTACATTTCCAACATTGATACCAACTATGTTGGTACATTTGTTCATGTAATTCTTATTGATACAGAATCTTTTTTTATTTTTATCAACCAGCAACATAGCTAACTAAAATGTCATTTCAAACAGAAAGTGCGCTTTCAATGTATCATTCAGAGATCTGTGATTTCATTAAATGAGCGCTTTTTTCCCAACAAAAACGGTATGTTCTCGCCTTCCATTGTATTGCGCCTAGTAAACAATGTTTCGGGATAGCCAAGAGCTAGATCACGAGTAGATTATCAGATCTGTGCATTTGCGCAGGCTTTCGAGAGTTGAATCGATTCATTTTGTAGCTGAAAAGTCCAAAATGGCGATGGACGGTGGCATGTCCACGTCTCCATCAGGACTATCGTATCACAATGTTGGGGACTTTTACCCCAGAAAATTCGGTTCCAAGCCGGACGTGGTGCCGACCGGGGTGACCGAGAGGAAAGTTGGCCCACTTGATAAACCCGACATGGTGGCGGTGGACGTTGTCAACATCAACGATTCAGGTAGCTAGCTAACGTTACCGGTAGCTAGTTATGTTATGCTAGTTAGCCAGTGCAATGTAGTAGGGGGTAACTAGTTAGCTGCCTAGCCACGTTTAGCGTTAGCTAGCCCCATAAACAGCGGTGAAGCCTCTTTCCAAAACTGTGTGTGTCGCTAGAGCTAGCTAAATCTTCACTTTAGCTAATGTATTGTCATTGTTTGCCAAGACAATACTTGCTTTGTAGAGCTTAACTGAATTCCGGAACAAAGCTAACTAACGTTAACGTATCTAGCTAACGTTAGGTATGTTTTATCTGCTAGCGTATCTATGTAACGTTAGGCTAGCTAGCTAGGCCAGGAAACCAAAGCAAAGATGGTGGATATTTGAAGATGTTCCACTCAGGCCGTTTACCATAGGAAAACAAGGGTCTGTTTAACGGGTTCGCTCTCCCATAGGCACAAATTCAACAGCAACTGCGGTTGGTGAGAGGGTCCACTCCTGTCAAAATCTTCCCACGTGGGAATACGGCGATTCTGCCTTCCCGCCTTTGGGACAACAACTCCCATTGTTGCCCCGTGTAGCTCAGTTGGTAGAGCATGGCGCTTGCAACGCCAGGGTTGTGGGTTCGATTCCCACAGGGGGCCAGAATGAAAAAAAGAAAAGAAAATATATGCACTCACTAACTGTAAGTCGCTCTGGATAAGAGCGTCTGCTAAATGACTAAAATGTAAATTGTTAGTGCGGAGACAAGACCATCTCGTCATTATATACAGTGTCTCTAGTCTGGTCTGCTTAGTTCATTGATTGTATATGAACCAGAAAGTTCCCTGTAGTCCCCTGTAGCTCAGTTGGTAGAGCATGGTGCTTGCAACGCCAGGGTTGTGGGTTCGTTTCCCACGGGGTGCCAGTATGAAAAATGTATGCATTCACTAACTGTAAGTTGCTCAGGATAAGAGCGTCTGCTAAATGACTAAAATGTAAAGAAACTGAGGGGGTGGGTTGTCTCGCTTCCTCTTCCGTCTCTGACCAAAGCAGATATAGTTAGCTAGGTGGAGAGTTTTTAAACCTTTGCCATCTGCATCCATTTTGCACGTTAACGTTACGACTAGAAGGAGAGCATTCCCTTTCAGTCATAAAGTTATGGCTAAAGTTAGGCACACATTAGACGACAAAAATCTTTACATCGTGGGAGCACTTATTCAATTGTCTGCATAATCTTTTCATCCTTAAGTCTGTGACCGGTGTGCTCACATTACACAAGTTTGCTCACATTGTGACCTGTCTATTGAAAAAAATATATAATAACACAAGGAATAAATACACAATGAGAAACGATAACTTGGCTATATAGGCCTACATAGGGTACTAGTGTTGCTTCCGTCCCTCTTCTTGTCCCAACCTGGGCTTGAACCAGGGACCCTCTGCACACATCGACAACAGTCACCCTCGAAGCACCGTTACACATCGCTCCATAAAAGCCGCGGCCTCTCCTCGCCCCAGCTGTTACATTGATGCTGTTGACCCGGATCACTGGGTGCTGCGGAAAAGGAGGAGGTCAAAGGGGGGTGAGTGTAACCGGTGTGAAATGGCTAGCTAGTTAGCGGTGCGCGCTAGTAGCGTTTCAATCGGTGACATCACTCGCTCTGAGACCTTGAAGTAGTTGTTTCCCTTGCTCTACTTGGGTGGTTGGAGTCTGACAATTTTTTGGTCCTTCCTCTGACACTGCCTGGTATAGGGATCCTGGATAGCAGAGAGCTTGGCCCCATTGATGTACTGGGCCATATGCACTACCCTCTGTAGCACCTTGCGGTCGGACGACCAAGCAGTTGCCATATACTAAGCGTTGATGCAGCCAGTCAAGATGCTCTCAATGATGCAGCTGTATAACTTTTTCAGCATCCTGAGGGGGCAAAGGCATTTTCGTGCCTTCTTCACGACTGTGTTGGTGTGTATGGACCATGATAATTCCTTTGTGATGTGAAAACAGAGGTACTTGAAGCTCTCGACCCTTTCCACTACAGCCCCATGGATGGGGGCGTGCTCGGCCCTCCGTTTCCTGTAGTCCACGATCATCAGCTCCTTTGTCTTGCTGACGTTGAGGGAGGGGTTGTTGTCCTGGTTTGTGGTGGTAAATGGACAGATACGAAAAATATAGATGAAAACTCACTTGGTAAATAGTATGGTCTGCAGTTTATCATGAGGTATTCTAATTCAGGCAAGCAAAACCCCAAGACTTCCTTAACTTTAGAGATCACGCCCCAGCAGTTGTTAACAAAGAGACACACACCTCCCCCTTAACCTTACCAGAAGCTGCCGTTCGGTCTTGACGATGTATAGGAAAAAACAGCTCGATATGTATTATCCATGTTCTTGTTCAGCCACGACTCTGAGAAACATAGGATATTACAGGTCTTCAGGTCCGGTTGATAGGATAGTCTTGAACGGAGCTTGTCCAGTGCTCTAGTGATTGTACATTCGTCAATAGAACGGAGGGTAGAAGTGGTTTATTTACTTGCTGACGAAGTCTCGTCAGGGAGCCCGCTCGTTTGCCTCTCTTGTGCCATGTCTTCCTCTCAAGTCCCGGGGATTAGGCCCTGGTCCGGAATGAGCACGTCCAGAGCTGCCTACTCATTGAAGTAGAAATCTTCATCCAAATCGAGGTTAGTGATCGCTGTTCTGATGTCCAGAAGCTGTTTTCGGTCATATGAAATGATGGCGGAAATATTATGTGAAAAAAAGAAATTACGACCAGCGTAAGAAAAACATACAAAATTGAAGAATTGGTCAGGAGCCCGTAATACGGCAGCTATCTATTGCAGCTTCATCTTCCATTGTCGCATCGTAGCACCTCCTTCACTGCACAAGATACGACTGGAAATGTCTGGCATACCAGAGAAATAATCAGGACCTAAGATACGGATCGCCAGAGCGCAAGACCCATAATTGCACGTCTTTCACACGCTCACATTATGCGACCTTCGACGTCTTAGTTGTAGCCTACGACGTTAGGATTTGCCTGCAATCCCCAAAATTTGTTGTGGATCCCAGATCGTGGCAAAATTGCAGTTTAAAATCGTATGATGTATGGCCAGCATAAGCCAGACCACCCAGATTATTGGTGACATTTTGAAAACCATGCATAATCAGACATGCGTCGTCCTGGTATCTTGAAAATAACATTAGATTAAACTTGACTTTGTGTACAGTCTATATCAGTCATCTGTTGTTTTCTGTTTTTCATAACCAAATACTTTGCAGATATCCCAATCCACAGAAAAAAGCAAGAAACTGACGCATATGTGCTGGTAAGTTTTCCTTTTTGAAGACACCAGTTGGTAGGGTCTAAAGCACGGGTGTCAAACTCATTTTGACGCATTTGGTCTTTAACGAGGTCCGGAGGGCCTTACTGAAAATTGGTTTGATTTCCTCACTGTCAAATTTTTTTTTTTTTTCTTTCTCTCTATCCATCGTTTTTGGTATTTTCGATGCTCCCTGACTGTCTAGCTTTCATTTAGGTGATTATTAGCGAGCTGTACACTGTCAAACTGTATGAATGTAGGTCCATTATCATTTCCACACAGTTTCGATTTGGGTTTGACACCCCTGGTCTAAAGCTGCATTTTTTTTTTTTAACAGGCAGCCTACTGTAGCTAAATACGAAGGATAAACACTATAGTGTGAAACCACTAGATGGTAGTGTTATAGTATAGCTAGTATCCTTCTGCTTCTCTCTGAGTCCTTAATCTCACATCCTTCCATGTGACTGTGCGTTTGTGTGGTACCCACAGGGCACTATACACCCATTCCGGAAGACAGACAGATCCTTCTTTGGGAAACTCTCTCAAGAATTCCGCTTGGTGACTTCAGACAGACGGGTAAGGAATTAGTAAGGGGTGTGTGCATGCGTGTACATTAAAATGCCACAGGGACAACTGTTGCACAGTGCTCTTTGTTTTGGAATTCCCCAATTCCCCATCCCAGTAAAATGACCCTGACTTTATTATTGCATTATTCTGGTAAGCTGTTTAGACATCTCATCTCATAGGCAAGCACCTCATGTTAATCTTTCACTCCAGGGCTCCAGACTAACGTTTTCCCATGGTGGCACTGGTGCCACAAAAGTTTTTAGTTGGTGGCACCAGCCCATTATTTGGTTGCACCCAAAATGTTGTTTTTTGTTGCAGCGTCGCGCAATAGATAAAGGAGTAATCAATCATCTTATTAAATCATTCACAATGCTTTATTAAGAAGTGTAATAATAGACTACTGAGATGGTATTCAATAAATAAGTTGATACATCTAACAGGTCCAGGCAGAAATGTATATATTCAACCTAATCCAGTGATTGTCATGAATTTTTGGTTGACAATTAGGCAATTATTGCTAAATTTTACTGTTAAAATAGGGCGGCAGAATTTTTACATACATTTTTTTTCAATAGAGATGAATTGCCTTAATCTTTGCTCACTAATATTACATATACAGTTGAAGTCGGAAGTTTACATACACTTTAGCAAAATACATTTAAACTCAGTTTTTCACAATTCCTGACATTTAATCCTAGTAAAAATTCCCTTTCTTAGGTCAGTTAGGATCACCACTTTATTTTAAGAATGTGAAAGTCATAATAAGAGTAGAGACATATATTTCAGCTTTTATTTCTTTCATCACATTCCCAGTGGGTCAGATCTTTACATACACTCAATTAGTATTTGGTAGCATTGCCTTTAAATTGTTTAACTTGGGTCAAACGTTTCGGGTAGCCTTCCACAAGCTTCCCACAATAAGTTGGGTGAATTTTGGCCCATTCCTCCTGACAGAGCTGGTGTAACTGAGTCAGGTTTGTAGGCCTCCTTGCTCGCACACGTTTTTTCAGTTCTGCCCACAAATGTTCTATAGGATTGAGGTCAGGGCTTTGTGATGGCCACTCCAATACCTTGACTTTGTTGTCCTTAAGCCATTTTGCCACAACTTTGGAAGTAGGCTATTTGGAAGACCCATTTGCAACCAAGCTTTAACTTCCTGACTGATGTCTTGAGATGTTGCTTCAATATATCACCATCATTTTCCTTCCTCATGATGCCATCTATTTTGTGAAGTGCACCAGTCCCTCCTGCAGCAAAGCACCCCCACAGCATGATGCTGCCACCCCCGTGCTTCACGGTTGGGATGGTGTTCTTCGGCTTGCAAGCCCCCCCCTTTTCCTCCAAACATAACGATGGTCATTATGGCCAAAGAGTACTATTTTTGTTTCATCAGACCAGAGGACATTTCTCCAAAAAGTACGATATTTGTCCCCATGTACAGTTGCAAACCGTAGTCAGGCGTTTTTTGGCAGTTTTGGAGCAGTGGCTTCTTCCTTGCTGAGCGGCCTTTCAGGTTATGTTGATATAGGACTTGTTTTACTGTGGATATAGATACTTTTGTACCTGTTTCCTCCAGCATCTTCACAAGGTCCTTTGCTGTTGTTCTGGGATTGATTTTCACTTTTTGCACCAAAGTACGTTCATCTCTAGGAGACAGAACGCGTCTCCTTCCTGAGTGATATGATGGCTGCGTGGTCCCATTGGGGTTTACACTTGCGTACTATTGTTTGTACAGATGAACGTGGTACCTTCAGGCGTTTGGAAATTGCTCCCAAGGATGAATCAGACTTGTGGAGGTCTACACATTTGTTTCTGAGGTCTTGGCTGATTTCTTTTGATTTTCCCATGATGTCAAGCAAAGAGGCACTGAGATTGAAGGTAGGCCTTGAAATACATCCACAGGTACACCTCCAATTGACTCAAATGATGTCAATTAGCCTATCAGAAGCTTCTAAAGCCATGACATCATTTTCTGGAATTTTCCAAGCTGTTTAAAGGCACAGTCAACTTAGTGTATGTAAACTTCTGACCCACTGGAATTGTGATACAGTGAATTATAAGTGAAATAATCTGTCTGTAAACAATTGTTGGCTTGCCAAAACTATAGTTTGTTAACAAGAAATGTGTGGAGTGGTTGAAAAACAAGTTTTAATGACTCCAACCTAAGTATATGTAAACTTCCGACTTCAACTGTAGGCCTAATTCAATTGGTGTTAATTTACCACCTGAGGAAATGGAAACTCAAAATACATTAGCTAGATCGCTAACTCAAAATATAACACTTACTGCTAGTAGCAATGTATGAATCTAACAGTAAATGTAATGTCCCAAAAAAAACTTTGCATCGGTAGTAGGCCTACTACCCCAAAATGTGTGCTTTGAGCTCAATAATGAGAATTGAGAAATACAAATTATACCTACAGAAAGCTGAGACCCTCATCTCTTTAGCATGGACAATAGAGAATGACCACTTATCGGCCAAGCCGATATATATCGTGCCGATATTGGTATTTTCTTGTCTTTCGGCTAATGGCCCTTCTCTATAAACGTTGCCAATAGTACCTTTACATAGCAAATCCAATGCACCCTCTAGTGTCGACTCTGAAAACTGCTGCTATCCCAGCTGCCACTCACCGTCTGAGCCAGGAGCACTGAACAGTGCCGAGGAATGTCTAGCTGGGAAAATCAGCAGCAAGATTGCTCATTCTCCAACAGAAAGGTGCAGTATTGAGAAACAGAAGAATTGACACATTGACCAAAATCAAACATGTTACAAATATGAGTTTACTTTATTCACTATTAATAAGGCTTGTGTCGACTTGCCCTGACATGCATGCAATAAGCAAGCTAGCTAGCTAAGCAGATCGCTATGTGACCTGTTAGCAAAGTTGATGATAACTAACCCTTTCATCTGTGGTGCTAGCTAGCTGTATTAGCTACTATGCTAGCTGGCTATACAAATATGGTGCTAAGATATCAGATAGGGGCTAAAAGCCAACGTAGCTAGCTAACATTAGCTGGTTATCATTTTAAACATGTGCCATTTTCTTCCTGATCGTGGAAAATTGAAAAAAATATACTATGCAAAAATAAACGCAACAATTTCAAGGAAATCAGTCATTTGAAATACATTCTGTAGGCCCTAAGCTATGGACTTCACATGACTGGGCAGGGGCACGATCCCACAGGTAAAGAAGCCAGATGTGGAGGTCATGGGCAGGCGTGGTTACACGTGGTCAGCGGTTGTGAGGCCGGTTGGACTTACTGCCAAATTCTCTAAAACGACGTTAGAGGCGTCTTATGGTAGAGAAATTAACATTAGATTCTCTGGCAACAGTTCTGGTGGACCTTCTTGCAGTCAGCATGCCAATTGCACGCTCCCTCAAAACTTGAGACATCTGTGGCAATGTGTTGTGTAACAAAACTGCACATTTTAGAGTGGCCTTTTATTGTCTCAAGCACAAGGTGCACCTGTTTAATGATCATGTGAATTAATCAGCTTCTTGATATGCCACACCTGTCAGGTGGATGGATTATCTTGGCAAAGGAGAAATACTCACTAACAGGGATGTAAACACATTTTTGGACAAAATTTGAGAGAAATAAGCTTTTTGTGCGTATGGAACATTTCTGGGATATTTTATTTAGGCTCATGAAATATGGGACCAACACTTTACATGTTGCGTTTATATTTTTGTTCAGCATTTTAGCTAGCTGTGGAGTGAGTTTACGGCATGTTGTTATGTCTTACACATGGGACAGTGGATGGTATCACCACCGGACTGTAAGGCTTCTGTTCACAGGGACACATTAAGTCTCGGGACTGAGGCTGCTCTCCACCAGTACACTGTGTACAATGAGGGTACATGGGGATCAATCCCCTCTTTTAGGAATAATCAGTTTGTGTTCTATCTGCCGGTGTACTAGTTAGCTCTGCTAGTGTAGCGCAGCCTGCCTCTACTGGAGGACCACTGGGATGGCTAGGCTGGGATAAGATGCTTTTGGATCCAAGTGGCCAATCTGCCAGAGGCAAAAGACCTAATTACATTTACATTACATTTTTGTCATTTAGCAGACGCTCTTATCCAGAGCGACTTACAGGAGCAATTAGGGTTAAGTGCCTTGCTCAAGGGCACATCGACAGATTTTTCACCTAGTCGGCTCGGGGATTAGAACCAGCGACCTTTCGGTTACTGGCACAACGCTCTTAACCACTAAGCTACCTGCCGCCCTACTACAGTAGGGACTAGAAAGAGAGTGGGCTGTGCTGTGGAGACCTCTGACTGCTGTCCCTAGAAGCTGTATGAAAGAGACTGGGTTAGGTTCTATAGGAACAGAGAGACTGATCGAGGTAAAGTCAATGGAGTTCACTTCACATGCATAGAGAGGAGATTACGTTTTCCAAAAACATGGCCTTACGAGAGAAAGTGGAGAGCAGTGTCTTTTCTTGATAAGGGTGTGATTATTTAGGTTAGGCTCACTGTGGCTGTAGACTGGGTGTCTGCTCCATCCATGCACCAGGCAGTGGGAGTTTTCCAGACTGATGCTGCTGTTGACCTGGCAGTAAAACTCTCCTCTCCTGTGCTGCTGAGTAGCCCTATATTCTGCTGGATTAAAGCTGATGATGTACTTGACGTAGGCATATTATTTACAGATGATATATCTGCAACAGTATTCTGTGACTCAGGGAGGCTGATGTTCCTGAAGGTATTTGGGAGTGTCACTCCAATGTAAGATTTAACCTAGACATGTTTACCTGCAATACCGCCTTCACCCAGAGGGTGGCAGTGTCATCTCGTTGTCCCCTGCTTCCCCAGAAAGAGTGTGTGTGTATATGTAAGTGTGTGGGTGGGGGGTTTGGATGTGTTGGGCAGCATGCTGTCGCTCTGTTTGCACACAGACACGGGCACAGCGATCTGCAGGGCCCTGAAGCCGCAACAGGCCCAAACACACACTTCAGCTCCCATCTCTATCCTGGCTCCGGCTGTCACAAGACGCCCTAGCCCTGTCATAACACAGTGCACCGCAGTAATTGTAGATTTCACAGCACTCCAAGGACAGCCACTGACTCCAACACGAAGTGACAGACAAAGACGCGGTTGATGGCATTGAGTTTGTACAGTCTTCACATTTTTGTTTCCATTTTTTACGTGTTTGTCTGATACAAAGCATTCCCTGAATTAGCAAATTAACAATACAATATTATTCGATTAGCCTAACTGACAGTATGAAAAAATTAAATAATAATAATTGTGCATGCACTCACTAACTGTAAGTCGCTCTGGATAAGATGTAAAATGTAAATGTTAGGCAATGGCGTAGCATAACCTATCATCCACCTGCATTAGCTATTAATATCCCACTCCAAGCAATCCTATAGATCTAAATGAATTAATTGGTTTAGAAAGCTCTGGTTAATGTTCTGTTTGTGTTTCAGTCATGGAGAATCCTGGTGTTCGGCATGCTGAATGTTCTTTGTACTGGCTGCCTGCTGATGTGGTGCAGCTCCACCAACAGTATGGGTGAGTACTCATCTACATGACACAGTGTTCCACACAGCCAGCCAGGCAGAGTTAGCCTAGAGGTTAGAGGGTCCACTGAGTAAACAAGGACATCTATGGACTACCGCTTTGGATACTACGTAGTAGAGTACATCAGTGAGAACACTATGTACTGACATTGTTCTGATACTGTGCTCTGACATAATTCTGTTCTCCCTAAAGTTCTTCAACTAGGGCACTTGCAGTTCCCACCATTATAGTGATTATTCTCCAGCTTCCTAGATCCACTCATGATGTCACATATCCAGAGCGAGAGAGATCCCATATTACAGAGTCCTGCTGACCCATAGAAATAGTAATTAATCTACCATGTTCCGACATCCCACCCCCATGCAGATTAGATCTCTGCTGGTGTCGCAGTGTTATTGTGATGGTGTGTTCAGGGCTGTAAAGTGTAACCATTTTGATCGCATATGCTCCTAAATATTTTGCTGTGCGACTAGAAAGAAAATCGTCCAGATGTAATGATTAGGCTTCGCAGTACTGCTGTTTCCGAGTGCCGAAGACAAAAAAGCGAGCGCAGATTTGTGACCATGGTGGTCCTTTGTAGCTCAGTTGGTAGAGCATGGCGCTTGTAACGCCAGGGTAGTGAGTTCGATTCCCGGGACCACTCATATGTAAAATGTATATCCGCATGACTGTAAGTAGCTTTGGATAAAAGCATCTGCTAAATGGCATATATTATATATAATATTATTGCACCATTACTACAGAGAAAACTGCTTGTCTCTAGCCCAAACCGTTCAAATGTTGTGACTATATTACCGGCGCTACTATTGCGCTTTGGCGCTGCAGCTGGATGCATCTCCATCGGCGGGCCGTATTTAACATTCATAAACCATGTCGCGGGCCGTTAGTGTATTAGAATTTGTTACTTTCGGTTCTTCTATCACTCCTACAGCATGGCAAGCGGTACCGATGCACCAAGTGTGGAACCAACAGGACTTCTAAACTCAAGCCATAAGACTGATAAATAGTTAGTTAAATAGTTAACCAAATAGCTACCCGGACTATCTGCATTTTGCACAAACTTTTTTTGGCTCATCACATACGCTGCTGCTACTGTTTATTATCTATCCTGTTGCCTAGTCACGAAGTTATCGTTACTCATTGTGTATTTATTATTACTTGTATTATTACGTGTCATTACTTTTCTATTATTTCTCTATTTTCTTTCTTTCTGCGTTGTTGGGAAGGGCCCACAAGTAAGCATTTCACTGTTAGTCTACACCTGTTGTTTACGAAGCATGTGATAAATAACATTTCATTTGATTGATCAAATGTCTCACGTTTGGAAATCAACAGAATTTATTGAACTTATTAGAAAATGTATTAATTTGTTGTATTAAAGTTTAAAACATAAGACATGAACAGACTGCATCAGTGATTCGTATTCCCTGAAACTTTCTGAAGAGGCTACGGCAAGGGAATGCCCCTGTCTGTGTGTGTGCAGCAGGGGAGAATGACTGCTCCCTCTCATTGAAGTTCAATGCTGACCGCGGTACTGCAATCATTGTTTGCAGAAAACAGGATCCCTCATTATTTTGAATGAAAAAATTGCAATCTTTGTGTAAATCAAAACAAAATTCTAAGACAATCATGGTACCCAATAATTGCTTCTAATACACCAAATGTATGTCCTTGAACCGATTTTTATTTTTAAATCACACAAAGAAGAAGATATAAGGATAATTTAGTTGCTAATGGCAGCCTGCAGTACCCCAGTCGGCCTTCAACTTGAGTTAGTCAATGAGAGGGGGCAGCACTGAACTAGCCTGCAACATGACTTCCTGAAGTAGCTCAAACTGTTATGTCTCCATGAAATGCCATCTTAACAAACTTAATTTGGCTTCAATGTGCTATTGATTCTTCACATAGTAATGAATGGTGTCACGTGATCAATGGCTTTGTCCATTCATATTTACAGTCATTGGTGTGCGGAGCTCGTATGTCTAGTAGGGCTGGTCCAAAATATATCACAATATTTTTCTCATTTTTGATGTTATTTATGTTTTTATGTTCAAAATATGCTTCATGAGGTGTGCATGACCCTAGTGTGGCAACAAATACATTCTAAGTGATTTTAATTAGACTTTCTCTCTTCTGATAATTTTATACTGTTCAGTCAAAATGTTCTGCATTTTCATCAAGTTCTGCATTTCCTTCACTAGTTTATCATTTTCACACTGTACCACATTTGTTTTCTTTTTGTATGCCTCTATTTTGTAAAAAGGTAACTTTATCATTATAATTACACAGTGTTTATCTATACAGTATGTGTGTGTGCGCTGTACAAGCTTGTGGATGTTGTTTTAGCTGTGGGTTGTCTGCTTGGTGCTCAGACCGGAGCAATGCTGTAGTGGGCTGAGAGTTATTATAGTGTGTCTGTATGGCAAATTACACTGAACAAAAATATAAATGCAACATGTGAAGTGTTGGTCCCATGTTTCATGAGCTGAAATAAAAGATCCCAGCACATTTTATTTCTCTAAAATGTTGTGCACAAATTTGTTTACATCCCTGTTAGTGAGCATTTATCTTTTGCCAAGATAATCCATCCAATTGACAGGTGTGGCATATCAAGAAGCAGTATGATCATTACACAGGTGCACCTTGTGCTGGGGACAATAAAAGGCCACTCTAAGGCCACTTCTCAGGGAAGCTCATCTGTGTGCTCGTCATCCACACCAGGGTCTTGACCTGACTGCAGTTTGGCGTGGTAACCAACTTCAGTGGCCAAATGCTAACCTTCGATGGCCACTGGCATGCTGGAGAAGTGTGCTCTTCACAGATGAATCCTGTTTTCAACTGTACCGGGCAGATGTGTGGGCTAGCGATTTGCTGATGTCAACGTTGTGAACAGAGTGCCCCATGGTGGCGGTGGGGATATGGTATGGGCAGGCATAAGCTATGGACAACGAACACAATTGCATTTTATCGATGGCAATTTGAATGCACAGAGATACCGTGACGAGAACCTGAGGCCCATTGTTGTCCCATTCATCTGCCGCCATCACCTCATGTTTCAGCATGATAATGCACGGCCCCATGTTGCAATGATCTGTACACAATTCCTGGAAGCTGAAAATGTCCCAGTTCTTCCATGGCCTGAATACTCACCAGACATGTCACCCATTGAGCATGTTTGGGATGCTCTGGATCGACGTGTAGAACAGCATGTTCCAGTTCCCGCCAATATCCAGCAACTTCGCACAGCCATTGAAGAGGAGTAGGACAACAGTCCACAATCAACATCCTGATCAACTCTTTGCGAAGGAGATGTGTCACGCTGCATGAGGCAAATGGTGGTCACACCAGATACTGGCTGGTTTTTTGATCCACACCCCTACCTTTTCTTAAGGTATCTGTGACCAACAGATGCATATTTGTATTCCAAGTCATGTGAAATCCATAGATTAGGGCCTAATGAATTTATCACAATTGACTGACTTTCCTTTTATGACCTGTAACTCAGTCAAATCTTTAAAATTGTTGCATGCTGCATTTATATTTTTGTTCAGTGTAGATCTCTTCCACATCTCAGGATGTTTTCCAGTCATTGCATAAAGACCCTGATGTGGCGCGCTGCGCGTTTGGTTTCTGGTTCATTAGACTCCCTGCTGAAAAGGAGATGTACGCTTGTCATACTTGCGTTGTACTGCCACCTGAGTGACAGTGTGAAAACGAGAATCTCTAATTGCGTTTTATACGATAATGTACCAAGGCCATGCAGCAGGGAACCACAGAAGGTGGGGTTTGTATAATCAGGTCATAATTTACCCTGTCAGCGACCATATAGTCACACAGGGCGAGGAAGAGTGAGGAAGGGCTGTTAGCCTGGTCTGAGAACAAGTCTGAAGTCCCCATCAGCAGCACCGAGCCTCATCACTGTGACTGGTCCTAGCTGTGAATGTAGCCGCTCAGTTGGGAGAAAATGGCTTCCTGAAGAGATCTCCCGTTGTAAACTTGAACGGGATCTGTGTTTCCATTACAAATTCCTTGTAGAATCAATGTTCACTCCACAGAGTTTGAGTCAAATTGGAGGGCGACTGGGCCTTCACTGACCCGTAAAGTTCAAGCGCAGGGTTTGTTGTTGAGCGAGATGATGATTAACTAAGATAAAATGATCTCATTGTCTATGTATAGGGGTTTCCACTTTCCAATTCAGTGACACCCTCTCTCTGACTTTTAGGTATACTTAAAGTGCATTTCATAAAGCGGTTGTTAAACAAGCATTCATAACGTTACTTGGAAGAGAACACGTAATTAACAGTGGCATTGCAGCCTATTACTGGGCTTAGCATGTATGGTGAATAGAATACATCTAGGCCCTGCAATAGACTAGCGCCCTCTCAAGCTGCCTCACATTACAGAAACAGGAGAAAGGCTCCTGTCCTATGTGCTGTTCTGTCTCGTGCGAGGTTAGTTACTTATTTAGGTCACATTTTTTGTATATAGAGTTTAAACTGTCTGGATGAATCGAGAACACCATAAATCCAAAAGGTGGCCTATCCCTTTAAGATGCCATTACCATGAAGTCGTTCAAATTCGAAAGGGAGACATTGCACTGCATCCAATTTTCAGTTCGTTTCTCATCTGAAAAAAAAAAGAGCGCTTGATCTCTTAGGAGGCTACTTTTGCTGATATATGTACATTATCCCGTCAGTAGTTAGCCTAATAGTGATAAAAAATAGTGAGAAGATATTCGCTTGTAATTTACTGAATTGTCGCCAATTCAGGAAGAATAATATCTACCTAACGTTAGGCTCCGTGTTTTTAGCTTACTACATAAATAAATACGCTAGACTATTAGCCACGTTATGACTGACTTGTGATCATTGCCCTTGCTAGTTTGATATTATTGACATTCCAAGCCTTAGTTACATTCGTCCGTTTTTGTCCAAAATATTGAGTCATTGAAACTGAAACAGTGCATCCCGAATGGAGGCAACAAACAATGTACCAGGCCAGCTGTGATTTA